GCACCATCCTCATCATTGGCACCACCCTCATCATTGGCACCACCCTCATCATTGGCACCATCCTCATCATCGGCACCATCCTCATCATTGGCACCATCCTCATCATCAGCTCCATCCTCATCATCAGCACCATCCTCATCATCGGCACCATCCTCATCATTGGCACCATCCTCATCATCAGCTCCATCCTCATCATCAGCTCCATCCTCATCATCAGTTCCATCCTCATCATCAGCTCCATCCTCATCATCAGCACCATCCCCATCTCTGTCCTTGTCACCAGCCCCACCACCATCACCGCCCCCATCAATGTCACCATCGTCACCCCCCCGTCACATCCCAACTCTCATCCTCTGCCCCGCAAGCATCACCATCCTCAAGCCCATCCTCATCCTCAACCCCATCCCCATCACTGTCACCATCGCCATCCTCATCCTCAACCCCATCACCATCCCCATCACCGCCTTCATCCTCATCCCCATCACCATCCTCAACTCCATCCCCATCCCCATCCCCGCCTTCATCCCCAACCCCATCCCCATCCTCAACCTCATCCCCAACCCCCTCACCAGCCCCCACCCCCACCCCCATCCCGATCCTCCCTCCTCACCCCCCCCACCCCTGGCAGGTCCCCCCCCGTGCCCCCCTCACCAGCAGGTTCACCGACTCGATGACGTCGATGAACACCTCGTTCTTCTTGTACCGGATGCCCTCGGAGCGCCAGGACACCGCGTTCGTCACCGTGGTGGGCACGCGCGACTTGCCCGTGTCCAGCTTGTTGCCCTCCTGCGTGATGTACCTGCAATGGGGGGGAGGTGAGGGGGTTTGGGGGCTTTGAGGGGGTCCCCAGCGCCCCCCGGGCCCCCCCCGGGCTCACTCCTGCAGGATCTTGCTGTCCGTGGTCTGCGGGAACCCAAAGTCCATCAGCTCGTCCAGCAGCTCGTAGACGATGACGAAGTTGTCGCGGATACTTTCCTCCTCCAGCTCCTTGAAGTACTCACAGAACACCTGGGGGGGGTGTGTTCAGGACACCTCTGTCACCCCCCCGGGGAGGGGAGACCCCCACATTGGGGAGACCCCCACATTAGGGGCACCCTGACCCCCCAAACTCACCTCCACCACCTTGTAGAGGAAGGAGTAGACCAGGGAGGCGTTGCCGTTCTTCTTGGTGGTGGCCACCACTGCAGGGGGGGTGGTTAAGGAAAGGGGGGGCACCGGGGGGTCCCCCCGGCTGGGGGGGGGTTCAGAGGGGTCTGGGGAGGGGTCCCCGAAGGATACGGTACAGGTTGGCGTGTTTGATCCACAGGAAGTGGACGTGGCCGTGGGTCAGGAGGGGCGTGAGGGTCCCCTCCTCCTCCCGCTGCAGCAGGACCCCCATGAAGTGCTCGATCTCCCCCAGCCCCACGTCCCCCTTGTAGTTGCGGCTGATCAGCGGCTGTGGGGCGAGGGGAGGGGGTCAGGAATGGGGAACCCCCCCCTTAAATCCCTCACCCCATCCCCGGGGTCACGGGGTCACCGCCGCTGACCTTGGCTGACCTTCAAGGGCAGAGGGGACAGCGGGGTGTCCCCCACCCTGGAGACCCGGGTCCCCCCCCGGGGGG